CTCCGAGATGCCCTGCCAAGGGATGGGAGTGAGCCAGCTCCAGTACGGTCTCCATTTTGGTGCGTGGCACCACCAACAGCAATTTTTCCTCCCCCCTTCGCTGCGCGACACAGTACAGCAGGCCATTTTGCACGACGAAATGCGGGAGAGGGTGGGGACCAGGCTGAACCTCCTTGCCTTCGATGACCCGGACCTGGGTCCATCCATGCTTCAGCCTGTCGTCCTCCCGCTGTTCCTTCCCAAATGAGCCCCCTCCCGTCACCTGTTGGAACGTTAGGATTAAGACGTTAGGATTTTGGGAGGGGGATTCACCTTCTCTCCCGCTATCCGAGGCCAGAAGCACGGGCCGCTGACGAGGTCCTGTCATGGTCCTCCTCCTTCTGGCCAGCAGGCGGTCAAACTCTGGCCAGTCTCTCCCGATCAGCACGGGGACGGGAAGATCCTTCATGACCCCGACTTCCACCGGCCAGGCGCCGGGAGCGGCCGAAATGTTCACCCTGCGAGCGGGAACTTGTCAGTGCTGCGTGAGTAGTGTGAGTTCGGCGGCCTGGGCACGGGCCCGCAGACGGGGCTTATACTCCCACTCGTGGAAGTGCTGGGCGGCACAGATAGGTGATAACCCCAGGCGGGCTAGGATTTCCTTCTTGACCTCCTTATATTGATCGGCGGAGGCGGCGGGAAGAGCGAAGTATGCATGCTGCGCTTTGCCCGTTAGCAGGGGAGCCAGCACCTGTGCCCAGTCATCCTGATGCCACCCTTCCAAGGTGGCCGTCGCTTCGAACATTTGTAAGAAGGCTTCTACGTCATCATGAGGGGTCAGCTTGGGTAGCAGCTTCGCGGCTTGCACTCGGGGGTCCGGCAGCGGAACGCATTGAGCGGCGGTGGCACACAGTCTTTCCTTGACGGGTGGCAAGGTGCTCAACAATTTGTTGCTGGTGGATGCTAACCTCGGTGAGCCGCTGGAGGATTTCGTCCACGGTGGGGGAGGAGCGCTCGCCTGTGACAGAAACCGGAGACAAAACCAAGGAAAAAAAAAAGTGAGGGCCTCCTTCTTCACTGATTCGCCTGCATTCTCCACCAGTGTAACGGGGTGAAGAATCACACGACAAGAAATCTCAATCAAGACCCCGGAGGGTGGATTTATTGGGGTGAGGGGTGCTCGTGAGAAAGGTCCAGGTAGGTGCTCCGGTGCCGTGAGTGCTCTCTTCCGTCTTCCCAGTGCAGAGGGTCCGTGCAGTGCTCCTGTGGGGCTGGTCGGTCACACGCTGCTTTCTGTGGGGAAAATAAGAGGGCGAGTTAGTGCTCAGTCTCATGGCGGAATCTCCTAGATGGCAGGGCTTGCGTGGCTTATGTAGCCGCTGCCTGATGAGGTGCATATATACATATACATATGTACTGTATGTTTTGAATATTAATTGTGTGTACACCCAGTAAAAAGAAATGAATGTGTTAGAAGAGTTTGTGTCAGTGCTGAGGTTAAATATAGCACCACATAGTCCCTCCCTCCCACCCTCTCTCTTTCTCACTCAATCTTTCACTCTCTCTCTCTTGGCTTTGCTTGAATTCCAGCTTGACCTTCTCCTCAGTTAGTGCTTGCTTTTATCAAAACTACTAGGAGCTACACAGGAAGGCTGTGTTTCCTTGAACTTGCGGTCTCTTACTCCCATAACTCCAAGAGCAAAGCCCTGCTATCCCAAGTTCGTGGCCGTTTGATAGGGCTGCCCAGCATGGTGTCGGTCCACAAAGACAGGGTGGGAAGACAGATGGGAAGTATGGAGCTCTGGTGGAGGTAAAGGGCTAGTTTTGTTTCGGATTACTGGAACTGACACGGCCGCATCATGGAGCTGTCTCCCGTGCGGTGGAGTCGGGCCAGCGTCATCAGCTTCATCAAGGGCCTTGGTAGGTGCCACTGAGCGAAAGGTCTGTGGGTGCGTGGGTGTTGTTCATGTTCTCAACGCTTGCTCTAAGGAGGTTGCATTCTGTGGATTCCTGATAGTGTGTTGTTCAAGGCTCATGAAGCAAGCAGAATATTTCAAAATTCCTTTCTAGCAGCTCCCCTGCTCATTCAGTTTGAACCGCTCTGGCTCAACAGCAACTTCGGAGGTGTCAACTGATGTCCGCTGTTTGTCCATAAATAACGTAGTTGACGTTAGTGTTATTTACAGATGACTGTCAAGCCAACCATATGTAGTAAGTTTAAATTGATGATTAACAAATGTTCAATGTCTTATTTTGGTCTTACTTGATAATAGGCATCCAACAGCTTCTAAATATTCGGGTTTCTGTCTAGGTGGTTTGTCTCATGTCATTTAGCACAAGTACTAATCATTCCATTGTTCTACCCTTGACCTGAGCAGTGGAACCCTAGTGTTAGGTCATGAACTCCCATTAACATGGTGTGAAGTTTAAACTGTCCCAAGTACTGAGGTCTGCCAGAGGAATTTTAGATGGCAAAATATCAGCCTGACATGCATTTCTTCATTGGCGCAGACTGAAAAACCATATCTGAACTCCAGAATATTACAGAGACCGCAACTGCATGGATGCTTTGACAAACAAACATCCACAACACTGTAACTTTGCGTCAATATGTTTTGCACGGGCAAACACCACTCACATTTTCTTCAGAAAACTGAAAAGATCTAGTTGACACCGAAGACTTGAGAAGTGTAATTGTGACTGTGTGGAGGAATTGTCTACTTTTGATGCTTGAATAGGGGATTAAGCAACAGTGCATCACTGTTTTGACATGGATTGCTATATTTTTAAATGAGCAAAAACTAGTTAATAAGAGAACCCTTTAACAGTCCTTTAACAGTCTTAATCTCTTACTGTTCATAAAAGCACTTATGCAATCATAATTTTGAGGTAATTGCCTCATTTTAAGTTACTGCATATATCTTTAAACTGCTCATATTGCTGTTAGGATCCTTATCCTGTTAGGATATTAATCCTTTCTATTCGTTTTGCTGCTTGTGACTTGTGAGGATGCAGGGGTCTATTCTAAGAGGAGCACATGCTCGAAGCCCCTGCAGCCACATGACGTGAGCTCCCCCGGCCCCGGCCAGCTTGCTGCCCCCCCTTCCCCCTTTGGGAGCAATGACATGGTCATGCCAAAAATGAAAACACCAGCTGCTCCATCCCAGGCTGATGTGAGATGGTGCTCTCAAGGCACAGACTCGGGCCTCAACCCTAACACTGACAGCACCAGTTTCAGTATCTCATATCTGTCAAAATATCTGTCATGTTTTTTAATTTGCTAATTTGACAAGTTGATTCCATCTCAAAGCATTTGATTGGCCAGTAACTTTTGCCTCTGTGTGGGATCAGAAAATCACCCAAGTTGTATTCACTCGAGTCACTAGCACCACACATGTCAGAGCTTGTGCACTGCCCACCAAGTCATATGTAGAATGATTAGCACAATAGTTGAGCTACTAAGATCCATGATAATCTAATACAGTTTTTTTGTGCATTCCCAGCATCCCCCGTAGGAAAGCGCCCCCTCCCCCAAGTGAGCAGCACTCTAGGCGAGAGGAAAGGTCCCATTGCCACGATGCCAGTTACCGTGGACCCCGAGAGCAAACCGGGAGAGTATGTCCTCAAAAGCCTGTTCGCCAACTTCACCACCCTGTCTGAACGCAAAATACGCATCATCATGGCAGAACCACTGGTAAGAGACCTCTTTTTATGTTTTTAAAATGTATTTATTTTTTGATGTCAGACATTTTTCAGGCAAGACAAAGTTTAACATCTCTTGGGATATAATTTTCCAAAACATTTACATGAGATCATCTGAGACATAAGACCTCAAATGTAAGTAAATAATGTCTAGTCCATATTAAAATCAGTCGCCACAAGTCAGAGTTTGGTTTGAGGCTTTCTTACGCCTAATTTTAGCTGATTATCTGGTATGTTGAGTAGTGTAGAAAAACAAGAAGTGTACAATATGCTGTCTAAATCAATTAGACAGAGAAAGAGAGATATCTAACAGTTCTGGCATAGTTATTAATGACTATGCTGTGGCTTTCATTTGTAATTGCTTTAGTTGGCAGGCGTCGAATGTTAATACTTCACAATATATCTTCAAACTGCACTAATAGCCGTGAGATACTGTGTCTGTTTTTGCTGCAGTGGCTCAGGTTGCCTGGTCTCTCTGTATCACTGTAATTCCATTATGCTGGAGTGCAGATTTAAGTGGACAGGAATGGGTTTCGTCTACTTGGTATTTTCAAGCCAAAAAGCTTATGCACCAAACAGGAAGCAGTCAAAGCTCTCAGCACACCTATTTAACTAATATCTCTGTGCACAGACATACTGCGCCCAAACAGTTTGTGCTTTAAACTAATGAATCAATTTCACATTCATGACTTTGTCATCAGAGTTGAGGTGCTGAGTTTTGTCAGGTGCATTTTTAAGTCAACAGACAGTAATGTACAGTTCACAATTTATAGATCACTGCTGTAACTTTGTATCAGATTCATGTCTTAAGAGGCACAAAGTTCAACCATAATAGAAATGATTACCTTTAGGAACAGAACAAAGCCATGACCTAGACATCTATATTCAACCTGTTTGTAGAATCACAGCTCTCTTTTGACCCTGTCCACCCTCGTCATCCTGAAAGTGTGCATGCGTGTGTCCACGGGTGTGTCTGCATGTTATGGGGTTAATCACTTGATTTGACCTCCAGACCCAACCCCAGTTAAGTCGTTCTCTTGGCTTCATGGCCCAGTTTCCCACACCTGCACATTAAAGCTGTGGGATCTTCAGATTAAATTTAGTTCTGTTGGGATCAAATGAATGAACTTCAGAGGACCTACAGTTGTTTTAGCGCTAAAAATCAGTAGAAGAGTCTTTGCTGACATCTTTCAATCACTGATAATGCTCATGTGAGTACCATAGGCACATTAAGACAAGCTTTTTGGGGGGGAATTTTTTTAACAGCTTTTGCAGTGGAAACATGGAATCATGTGTTCAACAAAGCTGAGAGTACTACAGTTTTATTGGCAGCCTGAAAGCCTGATTAAAATTAGCCTCTAAAATTAACTCTTTCTCTGCCAGCGTTTTTTTTATTAAAGTTGCCAGTCACCGGCAGCGTTTTTAATAATTTTCACAAAACGTTCATGGCCCCCAGAATATTTTGCTGTGTGAATAGCTGAACATGCAATACAACATAAGGAAGAAACGAGCCTGCTTTTAAACAAAATTTTATTCTAGCTTCATGTATTCTTATTTTATCAACACTTGAATGTGGATAAGTTTCATTAAAAAAGCAACTTTTTGAACAAAAAGCAGAGAAAATAAAATTTTTGTCAAAGACTACGTCCAGGTAGTCTTATATGATTATATATATGTGATTTATATGCTGTTTATTGTTTGATGAGATTGTGTTATTTTTTAAATCCATCTGCTTAAATATGCTGTTGCTTGTTTCTGCTTCTTCTTCACCTGAATTAAGTCTGAAGTCTGTGAAGGTCTGCGAGTGCAGATTCTGTGTGGTTCTGGTTATATGTTATGTCAAGTTCATTCATTACAAAAGAAAGATTGATTTCTAGCTGGGAATCTGAAGCCAATGATCTATGACTCTTAAGTTCTTTTTGATGTTCTGCAGGAAAAGCCCCTCACCAAATCTCTACAAAGAGGAGAAGACCCACAGTTCGATCAGGTGAGATCAAGAGACATTTTGCATATCCTTCTTGACATTTAAGACTTTTATCCTGCCTGATACACACTCACAATTAAAGGGGTCATATGATGTTGCTAAAAAGAACATTATTTTGTGTATTTGGTGTAATGAAATGTGTTTATGCGGTTTAAGGTTAAAAAAACACATTATTTTCCACATACTGTACATTATTGTTTCTCCTCTACACACTTAAAAATAAAGGTGCTTCACGATGCCATAGAAGAACCTTTTTGTCTAAATGGTTCCATAAAGAACCTTTAACATCTGAAGAACCTTTCTGTTTGACTAAAGGTTCTTTGTGGTGAAAGAAGGTTCTTCAGATTATAAAAAGGTAAGAAAGAGATGGTTCTTTAAAGAACCTTTGACTGAATGGTTCTTTGTGGAACCAAAAATGGTTCTTCTATGGCATCGCTTGAAGAACCTTTTGAAGCACCATTATTTTTAAGAGTGTATGCCCCGCCTTTCCGAAACGTGTTGATTTTTACAAAGCTCATCGGTCTGAAAAAGTGAGGTGTGCTGTGATTGGCCAGCTATCCAGTG